CATTTTTAGGTCTTTTGTAAGAGAGCCTCTTTCTTCTCTTTGAGAGAGAAATCATTTGCAGTTTTAGTTTATATTTTTATGCATTTGTAGAAGCTCTCCATCGCCACTCTGTCTTCAATAAGAGAATTTTTTTTGCAACTTTGTTTCTTTTACTTTTCTTCTTCTTAGTTCTAAACCGATGATGATGTCTACCTCAGCCATGTCTGAGTAGTCACCTAGTTAGGTGAAAGGGTAATTGATGGGCTTGCGGGCCTAGGGTTGTATTTTAACAAGCCCATTGGTCCTCCAAAAGTTTTAAAGTTATAAAACCCTAGTGTCTGCAAGTGCACAGATGTACGTTGTAGGACTTAGGGTGTCGATCCACAGGGAGGATGTCTAATCTTCAAGAAACAACAAACTGGGAAGTAAGCAAACTCATAAACCAATAAAAGATTTGTGATTTTTGGTTAAGATCATAAACTAAACCTAATCTAATATTTACAAGAGATGCAATGCAGGATGAATTGTTAAAAGAACATCTAAAGCATATCGACTAAAACTAAAGACTCTTAAACTTATAGGTGGCGATTTAGACTTCTCCGGTTTACTCTAATCGATGTATGGTGGCATTTCCAATTAGCTTCCGGGCAATTTATCTTCTTCTGTTTCTGGGAATCTGCATTGAACTAGAATAGACACATGTATGATTAACCAACTGTCGTCACCTCAATCAACTAATCTCTTAGATCTAGCAATTAACTCTCACTCTCATGCTAAACTTAAGATCATGCATTGAACATTGAATTTGTCTGCTCACATCTTCTATATAGGTAGCTTTTGACTCCTATAGGGACTATGTTCTTCTGAAGCTAGGTACGGATGATCTGATACAACACTCTCATGGCTCTGATCGATCCTAGGCTCAGAGAATAGGTCATGAATCTACTCTCATGCTTTACGAATAACTTAGAAGAGATGAGATCCTGAATATGGCTAAGAACAATAGAAATCCTAATCGATATATATATGTGTGTCGATATCTTCAAACAACTTGAGTCTCTGGGACTAATCTACATGATGCAATGAATGATAAAAAACATAGAAGAATGCAAAAGAATGAAACAGAAAAGTTAATAAGATAAAAGGAGGAAGAACAATGGATCTGGGGAAGAATCCCCATCTCCATCGCCTAACCCTAGAAAAACAGAGTTTGGTGGCTCAAAATCTCATTACCGGAGCACACACCCGTTTAGGACTGCTAAATAATGTATTTATAGGTCCTAAGGTCTTCCAGGTCTCATTTAGGACTTCTCTGAAGAGAAATGGCGAAATGGACTTTGATGTTGGGCATTGTGGCTCGTCCTAGGGTCCACCAGTGGTGAGAGTCTTCCAGGGCAGGTAAAACATGTGTTTTCCGCGGGTGAGAGTCTTCCGGGACTGGTGAATTGGGTCAACTTGTTCTTCATGTATCTTTTGATTTCACCGTTGGATCTTTGTGATGTAAAGTGCTATGGAAAGCTGGTTGTCTCTCTTGATTTTCTCCAAATTTGAGCTGGATCGGACGGTGAGAAAGTCTTCATTTGAGGCTGAACTTCTGACGGTCTGACTCTGAGCTAAAAATGTGGATTTCTTCCATTTTGCCATCATATTCCCTAAGTTTCCTGAAAAGAGCCTTGAAACTACAAATACATGGAAATCATAATAAAAGTTCCTAAAAAAAAGTAAAACCTTTGAAAAAGCATTTGAGATCAATGGTGAAAAGTGGTCAAAATCAGGTGTTATCAATTCCCCCAGACTTAAGACTTTGTTTGTCCCCAAACAAAACAAGATCTAATCTGGAAAAATATCATTCAACAAAAATGAGAAGGAACTCAAAAATATTAGCAACCATACGTCTAGACCTTAATTATGGACAATGCATCAATCAGATCAAGTCTAGAAAATTCTCACCAAAATACAAACATAACTAGTCCGTTAATCCGTCATGCGAAAATCCACACACTCAGAACTAATTTCCAGTCAACTAGCTCCTAACATTCATTAAAGGTTTCAGTGGTTCTCATCAAAAGGATATTAAACAAGGCATTCGAGGTTAGGTGTCAAAAAGGCTTTTTAATGGTAAGGCTGATGTGTTAAGGATTACTTTTTCCGGAGAGACATGATATTATGCAAAACAGCAAGAGAGGATGGAACTGATAAATGCCCCCACAGTTTCAGTCACACTCTTCTTGCTTTAAGATTTCTGATCTCCTTTCTTCAGGTTCTCCTTATAGTTCCCCCTGATTTGGATTTTTGTCCAGGTTGTGAATCCATAACTCCTTAAGTAAATACCTATTGCCTTGGCTCAAGTGATTTCGGCTTCTAAGACTCTTTAGGCTTTTAGTTTCGTTTCCTTTCTTTCTTTTTCTCCTTTTTTTTTTAGAAAGGGGAAACTGCCTTTTGACTTGGAGTCTTAGGGAGCACGGGATAATTATCCTAAACTGCTATGTTATGTACGTAAGAAAGAGTCTATTTTGATATTTCTCATAAAATAATATAAATTGTTTTTTTTTTAAGTATCAATATCTTCTTGGAAGAGGTAATAATAAGTAGACATCTATCATACTTTATGAGCATAGTGAATAACTTTTACTTTATGAACATAGTCTGTAACTTTTTTACAAAAATACTGAGGTGGGATTATCTATGATAGACTAAAGTTTGATTTAGAAAGCAAATTACAATATACATATATATATATATATTATCTACTTTTTTTTGTAATGCAGATTTCCTGTGTTATAATATATATATCTCGATAAAGTATTGTTTGTAGTTTTGTTTGCATTAACTTAAATAATGAGATATCAGTTAAAGTCAAAGACTCAAAGTCGTGGTGTAAATAGTATTTCCCCCAAAAACATTGAAACTTGTGAAAATTGAATATTATTACAAACCCAAAGGTCTTCAAAACGTCTCTGCTTTACCATTCTTTATTAACAAACCAAACAACCAAAAAAAAAAATGGAGAACACAGAACAAAAGAAATACGATGAAAATGGACTTCTCATAATCACACCAGCACCACTGAGAATGCGTATCGGTGAGGATGAAACTAAGTCACCACCTATGCCATCTGACTGGCAGATCGAGCTAAATATGATGTGGGAAGAAATGGAATTGCAAAGCAAACCAAAAGAAAAAGTCACACAGACTACCAAAGAAGTAAGTTATACTTTCATCCAAATTTAATTAATAATATATTCTCGATTAGAGATCCATGATTTTAGACTGTATAACCGTTATTTTTGTTTGTAATCTCTCTCTATAGACTGATAATGAGATATCAACTGATGAATCCCCAAAATCGCGCTGTAAAAAAGGGAAGCATGAACTGTGGCTAGATCTTGAAATATGTTTAAAGTGTATAAATTGTGGATTCGTTGAGAGACAGATCAGGCATATGGATACAGCGGAATGGGTAAACAGTTAAATATTTCATTAAATTATAGAGAACTTTTAGGAAATTACTTAATGTAACCTTCATTAATATATCTTTTGTCTTGTAGTCAGAAAAAAGGTGAAGAATGGGAAGAGAAAGTTGAGAATATAGTTGATGTTGAACTATATTTTCTTTAAATTTTTTTTGCTACAATATTTTATTTTATGGTTAGTACTTAAAAAAACTTTGAATGATCATATTTATGTAATATTATTTCACTTCTCTCCTTTATGATATTTGATAATATTAATATTTGATGATATTATTATATGATTATTATGATATATATAAAATCAATAAATTCATTAAATAAATAATGAATTCATTAAATAAATAGTGAATTATTTTTGTATCTAAATCTAATCCAACCTTAAAATATAACTCATAGAGTTTATATGATTAATATGAATGATGCATCTGAAATACTGATCGAGTTTAAAACAACACAATAGAACAGAGAAAAGTAATACCACAAAAACAACAAAGCGACTAAATACAATCAAAAACATCCTTGTATACAACATTTAATGTCCTCGTTTGAGGCTTTTTGTCTTTGTCCGTGATTAAGATTTTTAGTCTTGATTTGGATGTTACCCGCAAAACAGCAACATACAGTTGACAATGTGTAAAGACTGGTTTAGGCAGGTACAATCCAATTTTAGCAAGTGTCTGACCCTGACTATTGTTTATCGTCATCGCAAAGGCAAGGGTGATTATAAACTGTTTGCGCCTCATCCTGAAAGGAAATTTAGTCTCTGTCAGAGCTAAAAATATCCTAGGAATAAGAACTTTCTCTCATATTTTGTCACTATCTTAGCCTCTAGGACATAATTGGCCATCTGAGTAATAAGTAGCCTAGTTCCATTACACAAACCATTCCTAGGATTGATATTCCTCAGTAACATAACAGGAGTATTGACTCTTAAACGCAAACAATGGTTGGGTAAACCAGAAACTTTGACACTGTTTAGAAACTCCTCTGTATATATCATATTACCCAGATCGTTCTTGTTGTCTGAGCGAACACTCTGAGACGGAATTTCAGATGCATCATTCATATCGATTTCTCTATCAGAAGGATCAATACTATCACAAGTTAGATAGGTTCGTTCCTCACCTGTTATATGCAAAACGATCATCAGCGTTACAAAGAAAAATATCTAAAACATTATTAAAGACGAAAATAATAAAACATTTCAAAAAATTAACTATTTAAATATACCTTTTAATTGTGATAACATGTAATCATTTATAAGCCCAACATCATCATTCCTTGGACTCAAAATAGCCCTATCCTGAAAGAACTTAGGATCAGTCTGTTTGTGAAAATCCTGTCCATAAACTTCATCAACAATAGCTTGAATCGGATTCTCACAATCACTAATCAATAGTTCACTCGGAATATCGATCTCGCTTTCCCTGCTATCACTCGAATTTATTTTTCCTTCTCCAATATCAAGAATCCACCTTGTAAAAGATGCTAGCTCACACATCTCACGACTGTTGTTTCCAGGGATTAGTCGCATGTTACGTGTAAGCCTCAAACTTTACGTCCAAACCAAAGGGGAGATGAATTTAAAGTAAACATAAGAATCTCTGTATTGCCTGCGTTTGGAATAACAGGCAAAATTTTCCTGAAATCTCCACCAAAAACAATAACTTGACCACCAAAAGGCTTGTCACATTTTAATATATCTTTCAACGTTCTATCCAATGTCTCGTAACAATCCCTACTCATCATTAATGCTTCATCCCATATTATCAGTTTAGATGCATCAATCAGTTCTGCGAGGTTTGATTGAGATTTGATTGCACATGTCGTAAAATGATTAAGAACAATTGGAATTGCAAACCTTGAATGGGCCGTCCGACCTCCTTGCAATAACAAAGCAGCAATTCCACTTGATGCAACATTCAGAACAATATGACCTTTTGAACGTAACGCGGTTCCTAATAAGCTCCACAGATATGTTTTTCCGGTACCACCAGAACCATAAACAAAAAACCTTCCGCCAGAGCTTGAATAAACAGCTTCCAAAATCTCATCATAGATAAGTCGCTGTTCCTCAGTTATCGCCGCAAACAACTCATCATGTCTAACTCGCAAATAATCTCGATCATAACTTCTTTCATCACGAATAAGAGGATTACCGCGTACAGTCATGTCCAAATCCTCTGGATACGACATAGGTGAAAAATCTGTAAGAGAATTTCCAGCAGTACGCAGAAGCATCTCTATCTCAGCTAAGCAAAAGTTTTTAACCTGGTCAGTAGACAGCCTAAGATCTGCAAATCAGTAACCCAAACATAAATATGAATATATATCATATCATGTGAAATACTTAACAAACAATTGTTTTAGTATTGATAAAAAAACTGACCTGGTTTTTTTTTTAATTTTTCTTTGAGTGTATAACACGTCTTCAGATAAAATATCCCAAGTAGCATCCCAAACTCTCGAAGGCATCAAAACACTTCTTGTAGTCAGCATAATCACAAACAACCTACGCATAGTTATTGAACTAACCCATAAACTTGCATCTTTTATAGCCTGAATGTATTCTTTGTCGTTATCAAGTAACCCAAGGGCATAGCAAACATCTTTGAATGTATCATAATGATGCCCTTTAACTGTTCTTATATGTTCGAAACACGTTGGACCTATAACTATATTGAGCAAGAGCCTCAAATAATAAGCCTCTCCTACAGACATAGGAACATAGGTGATCCTACCAATATCTTTCCCTTTCTTCCTTGGTTTCCATTTCCTTAACTTCGTATCAAAAACAAATTTATGAGGAAACTCTACGTAAGTTAAAGACCTAGCTTCTTCATACTCTTTATTACATTCCATCCAAGCCATGAATTTGGACATACCAACGGTAACATGTTCAACCACTTCTTCAGCAGGATCATCTTCATTGTATATAATTAATTGCTGATTCGGCAGATCACTACAAGAAAACAATCGTTTTCCAACGGTCCATTACGACGGTTACTAAATCGTCGCAAATTTACAACGATTTTACGACGATCTTACGTCTAATTTAAAAACCGTCGTATAAAAAAATCGTCGTAAACTCGACGTACAATTTACGACGAATTACGACGATTATACATCGATAACGAGAGATTTGCTAGTAAATGTAAAATCGTCGTAAATTTGTCGCAAAATTACGACGAATATACGACGACTACATTTCGATGTACATATTACGACGATTGTACGTCGAAAAAGGAGTTAGGTGAAAAACATTTAAAACATGTTTACCTAACAATTGTAGATGTGTCTGAACCAGATGTTGATGAGGAGATTTTCTTAATAGACCCTCGGAACAGGCAACTTGAAGATCTTCCCGATGATACAGAAGAAGAAGGTGATGATGAGTTTGATGAAACCGATGATGACGATTTGGCGGAAGAAGACGGTGATGGTGATGAAGTAATAGAGGAAGATGAATCTAATTGAGTTTCATGCATTGTATTTAGTGAATGTTTGTTATTATGTAATTTGTAACTTTGTTTGTTTGAATTTTTTAAAAACCATAAAATTCGATTTTACGATGGTTTTACGACGGTTTTTCTAAACCCTAAACCCTAAGTCTAGGTTTTTAGCCCTGAATGAATAGGGTTTCAACATTACGACGTCTTTACGACGAACCATCGTAAAATCGTCGTAAAGTTACGACGGTTTTACGACGAATACACTATTTCGTCGTAAAAGCGTCGTAATGTTGAAATCCAAGAATTTGAATCTTTTATATCTTATTGGTTGTAAGGTATTTCACAATTGTTTTTGATTGGTTATCTTATTTTATATGAAATGCTATCAATCTGATCAAATTAAAAAATTTGAAAAAAAACATACATATTTACAAGTTCATACATGTTTTCGAAAATGTTAAGTGAAAGGTTATATATTAGATTACGGAATTTCATTTTTTACTATCTCATGTCATAAATCCATCATACATGCAAAGTTGTAAACCTTTTATTATATGTTAGGATACAATAACCTTTGCATTGTTATTTATGCAATACCCCATTTATAAGAATTAGGGTTTACTCACTTTTTTAAAAAACATTGTAAAACCGTCGTAATATAATCGTAAATTTACGACAGTTTTACGACGATTATACCCAAAACCGTCGTAAAACCGTCGTACCGTTTGCACCGGATAGGCTCTAGATCCGAGGTACGAGGTTATAAATGTTTAGACGTTACGACGATTTTACGACGGTTTTGGGTTTAATCGTCGTAAAATCGTCGTAAAGTTACGACGATTTTACGACGATCACAAAATCTATATAAGGGACGCGAGTTTTTCACTTTCGTCGCTCATTCCTCTCTTCCCCCTCTCTCTCTTTAAAAAATTAAATCTCTCCCTCACTCCCTACTCTCCCGACCAATTAATTGTATGTTTTTTTAAAAAAATAATTTCATTACATATTATTTTAGATTTAGGTTCGGAATTTAGATTTAGGTTCGGAATTTAAATTTAGGTTTCAGAATTTAGATAGGCCTGGATTTTGTAAATTTTAATAAATATTTGAAAAATTAGTAACAAATTTTTTAAAATTTTGTAGATTCTGTCTCGATGGCTCCTCGGGCTAAGAGATTTCACTACCGACAGCTCGTCGATTCTGACGGTACGGCCCCGTCTACCTCGGCGACCGGATCAGCCATCCCGGAGTCCTCGGGAACACAACGGACGGTTTCCCAACCGGTCGTTGTTCCGCAGCCGGCACCGCCTCCACCACCACCAGCCAAACCAGCGGCTCCCGCACAGGCCGAGCCTGAGGCTGATCCGATCCCGCCTGTACCGTATGCCCAGTTTACGGTACAGGATCTTCTGGCCCAACCCGGTCGTGGGACCATGAACAAACTCGACCCGGATCGAGCCCCCGGCACCTTTTGGTACGTTATTTTTTGCCTATAATATTTTTAAATTAATTAATATTTATTCTTATATATTTGATATTAATTCTTTTGCTCTTTCCATTTGACTAGGTTTACGACCGACAATGCAGTCGGTCGTAACGTTGCGGATATCATCAAAGGGTTTTTCGTACAACCCCATACCAGCTGGAAGAAGCTGGATCAAGCCACACTTGACACTTGGTTCAAGTGTTTTTCGGTAAGTAATTTACCATTTCCTTTAATTTTAATTTTAAATTTTAACTTTTTACAATAATTACTAACTTCTTTTTTTTCCTAGCAAAACTGGCATTGGGAAACATCCGCACACAGACGTGTGGAGACGGCCTTCAAGGAGAAGGTCAAATTCCGCCTCAACAACACCGTTTCCGACTGGAAACGGAAGTGGGAGGTCGACGGCGACAAGGCCAAGCCGGCGCCTATGTCCAATACCGTATGACGGGGCCTTGTCCAGTATTGGTTGGATCCGCACAACCAGACCACGGCCGCCAAGTGTTCCGGATCTAGGTAAGTCGTAGTTAATTTCAATAATATTTACATTTTTTTTTCTTATAATAGATTCTAATCAAAATATTTTTCAGGAACGCTACTGATGATGCGGGAAATTGGAAGAACGTCTCGCACACTTCCGGCCAGATTCCTTTTGCCGGAAGACGGCTTATGATGGTAAGTAAATTAAAATCATTAACTAACTCTTATTTCTTGATACTAATTAATTTTTTCATTTTGATTTTGTAGGTCGAAGATAACGGACGAGAACTTCCTCCGATGACGAAGGTTTTCGCCGAGACGCATAAAAAGCGTAACGGCGAATTCACGGATCCTCGGGCGGAGGAGATCTACAACGCCGCCTGTGCGGCGATCGAGGAGCGACAGACGCAGCTGACTCAGCAGGCGCGTCAAACGTCTCCCGGAGGTAGCTCGGTCCAATCGACCCCGGCGCTGACGGTGGCGGAGATGGACCAGATCTTCGAAGAGGTAATTTTAATTAGTATTTTTAATTAATGTAACTTTAGTTTTAAATTATATTTCTAACCATAATGTTTTTAAATATTTGTAGGTTGCCCCAAAGAAAAAGGGGCGGGTATTAGGGATGGGGTCAGATGCGGACCCGGTACGAGACGAGGATTGACCAGCTCTACGGTCTATTCGAGATCATGGGAGCCGACAACCCGGTACTCATGGCGAAGTTGGACAAGCTGCGGGCTGATGGGGTTGTCGGATCGTCTGCTGCCGGGTCATCCACTAGGACGCAACCGCCGGTGCAGACGGACGAGGAGATGTTCCGATCTCTCGGGGTTGAGCCTCCTAGAGCTGGAGATCAGGCGCCGTCGGAAGCATCAAACCGAAGACCCGGCAAGGAACACGTCCAAGACGATGGGGAGGAGGCCGGTGACGGGATCGACGGGATCGATTTAGATTTAGCTTTAGATCTGTAGGGTTTTTTTTGTAAATTACAATTAATTTTAATTTCAAATTTTCATAAATTTTAAATTGTAAATTATTATTTTTATTTAAATTTTAATTCGAATTTTTTTTTTTTTTAATTTTCAATTATATTAAGCGTCGTATAATCGTCGTAATAGATTTATTCAAACCGTCGTACATTCGTCGTAAATATTACGACGAATTTATGACTACAATGTACGACGAGAAATACGACGATTATACGTCCGAGAGTTACGACGATTTTACGACGAAATGAAGAAATACTTTACGATTGATTTACGATGATTCATGCGTCGTACATTTACAACGATCTTACGTCGACCATTAACGACCACTTAACGACGGTCTAGGCGAAGACCAAGTCGACGCAATTCGATGTAAACTCGTCGTAAACTGTACGACGCATTTACGACGATTTTGTTTCCCTCGATGTTATGACGAAACAAAACCGTCGTATATTATACGACGATTTTACGACGATTTGTTTATTACGACGATGACTTTACGACGATTTCGAAATCGTCGGTAATCCGTCGTAATGGCCCTATCACGACGAATTAACGACCATTTCGTCGTTGTAAAATGATGTTTTTCTTGTAGTGGATGAAACGGGAGTTTTGTCACAGAAACTGTACGACTATGTGTATTATAACCCTCGATTCTCCATATTGACTCTCCAGGTGATATATACCTAAACATAACATACAGTAAAAACCAATGATGATTTTGAAGACTTTATTAATAAGATAACTATTGAAAATTGCAAGAAAACATACCTACAGTTGAAATGCTTCTTAACCTCATCATCTTCGTCGTCTTTGCCTACTACTGCATGAACATAATCAGCTCCTTTATGAATATATTCAAAATGATACTTGACAGAACGCGATTGTATACACCATTCCACATTAATATGAGCTCGATATCGAATAGAAAGTTATCTGTTATATGGAACCACATAACCATTGTCACAATTGAATCCTTTCCTCGTTACAAATCTCATGTCTTCTCGTATTCTATATATCGGGTATCCAACATCATCAACTTTAGTAACAGGACTAAATGCCTTTGGAAACAATTTGGTACATCTACCATCAGCCATACAAACACTATCCCACCACATGGTCTGTGCATCATCACATCACCAATAATTTCGTATAGATGAGGATCAGTTTCCTTATCAGGAATCTCAGGACATATATAATCTTTTCGATATCATCACCAGTTGGTAGTTTGTCTTCGGGCCTAAAAAAAAAGAACGTTATGAGCATGAGGAAATCCTCTCTTCTGAAACTCTATTGTATATATTGCTATCATAAAACACGTAAAAACATAAAATGTAAATTAGGTGTCAAAAATCATATGCAAATATTATCAATATAGATTCACATCTAAATAGAGCGTACCAGCATTTACAACTCCCAAGACATTTTTTGTAGTTAGCTCGTACATGAGATCATCAAGTTTCATTTTGA